GGGAACTCCGAAGTTAAGCGAGTTGGGGGCTAGAGCAATCTCAAGATGGGTGACTCACTGGGAAGTTGCTCGTGAGCTCCCAGAAACAAAACCGTGAGGGCAAAGAGGGGGGGCCCAAAGTGGACAATATCGTGCTGCGGGAGTCGGGTCGTGACAAAATGGTATCAGAGCCACTCTACCGTGTGGTGCGAGTGTGCCGATGAGGACTTCGGGCCCCTAAGGGTGTTGGATTGTAAGATCCCACATCAACCAACGAAGGGGGGGTGATGTGCCTTATATGTACATGCCCGCCTCCATCTAGCACGAGGCCTTTTGAGAGCTCACTGGCTTCGGAGTCATGGGAATTCCGAAGTTGAGCGAGTTGGGGGCTAGAGCAATCCCAGGATGGGTGACCCACTGGGAGGTTGCTCGTGAGCTCCCAGAAACAAAACCGTGATGGCAGAGAGGGGGGGCCTAAAGCGGACAATATCCTGCAAGGGGAGTCGGGTCGTGACATTACCCCTATCTATTTTGAAATGTTATCAGCTATTCTCCTTTTTTGGCAAATAGAGCCCATAGTTGTTCATAGCAATTGCCCAACAGCTGACTGGGTTGGTGTGCAAAAATTGGGCCCAAACAATGCCCCCTAAGTTTGAATTGTTTTGAAACGGTTTCAGGTAACAACTTCTTCATTGCTTTGGCTTTAGGTCATTGTGTTCACTCAGTAAATTGTTTTCATTCCTATGAATTGCTAGTTGATCTTTTCAACTTGGAAAGTTTTAAGGGACTGTTGCTGTTTTCTGTACAAATATTGTAACCGTTACCATAAATGGTAGCCACATAGAGTAGCGAGGTGATGAGAAACATGCCAGGATAGTTTTGTGCTATTTAGTTGTGGCAAATTAAATTCAACCATCATTTCATTTCATTATGTCACAAATTGAACCAAAAGAGCACCATTGCAGTCATCTAAATGCTACAGTAGCTTAGTGAATGTCATAAAGGAGTTATTGTTGTTTTTTTTCCCTCTCTTTCTTTGTTAATTTTGAGGCTGAAACACGCGATGGTTGATGCCAGGTGATAGTAGGTAGCTTCATATGGGGTAGCTCAAAGACAAAGAACAAGAAAAGGGAAGCTGTAGAAGGTGTTGAAGTTTTGGATCTGCCCGTTGGGTCCCACTCTAACAACACCGATATTGTCCCCACTTTACCACCTGCCCAATTCGTCAGGTGTGGGGTTTTACCACAAAAGGCCTCGATATTAGTTAGAGTGTGGTAATTCTATTTAAACCCATTTGTTTTCTTTCACCCCACCGATGTGTGATTCCAACACTCCCCCTCCCGTGTAATCACACATGAAGATCCACACATCGACAATAGAAACTCAGAGGTCGGCTCTCGTTGGGCCCACTTGTTTTCAATGGAACTCAGAGGTTGGCTCTTTTCAAGCTTCATTGGCCTTTTTTTATATTTTATTTTATTTAAATTTTAAATTTAAATTTTAAGAGTCCGACTTGTTTCTCCTTCTTGTTAACAAGCTTCATTAGCTTGTACGGGCCTTGGTTCTGATACCATGTTGAAGTTTTGGATCTACCCGTTGGGTCCCACTCTAACAACACCTAGGCCTTTTGTGGTAAAACCCCACACCTGACGAATTGGGCAGGTGGTAAAGTGGGGATAGTATTGGTGTTGTTAGAGTGGGACCCAACGGGCACATCCAAAACTTCAACAGAAGGTGCCATAGACTTGGACCATCAGACAGTCGACAATTCGGTTGCGCTGAATAGCATTTCACTAGATCAAAGTTTTTCTCAGAGCGCTTCATTGGCGGCGTGGCAGGCATCATGGCCATTGGACATTCATAACACTCATGTTGACATTGATTTAATGTGAGGGTGACTTGTTTTATTTACATGGGCGTTGTATGTACATTTCAGTTTCATTCTTGGCTAGTCGAACCTATTATTCATTGAAGTATCGATGATGGAAAACAGAAGCCAGCTGATTCTGGGCTTTGATAATTCTAACTTCATTTTTCCATGTTAGACATTGGGGATGTACTCATATTTCTCTAGTTTATTCAAATTTAGTTTGAAATTTAGCATTCTTGATTTCAATTTACCATTCATGGTTTCAATTCACTTTCATCTGTAAATTTGGTTTGAAATTTTCTCTTGTTGGACCATGTGACATGTTTTGTTATGGACACTTCCCCTTGTTTCTTTTTCATTTCCCCATTTCACCTTTCCACCTTTTCATGTGTTTTCTAAAATTTCGGCCACCGACAGAGAAAAGATCAAGCCACTTTTCCTAATACTTATCATTCTTTGTCATTCTAGGAAAGCAAATAGCAAACAAGGTTGAAAACAGAGGCATGCACACCATGCGTAGACAAAATGTCGGTGTTACATTACAATGGCTCACTATCATCAGTTGTTGTTGGAAGGCAAATCACCATCTAAAGTCCAAGTCAATTACATGCATACTATTCTTTGCAAAGACTTTGTTTTTTTCCCCCTATATCTTCGACATTATATTGCATTCATAAACGCTAAATACTTGTGCCTCTTAATTGAATCGTGTTGATCTCGCATTTGAATCTATTAACATGCAGGGTCACTGGATGTGCTTGAAACTGTTTGTGCCTGATAAATCACGGCCATAAGCTGGCCGAAGGAGCCCCTTCTCTCGGCCCTGGCACTTGTTCGTAAAAACTGAAACGCAGCGTTTCGCCAGGGTACTTCTTCTTCCTAAAGACAATAGAAGAAATGCTAAGGCATGATCATCTCGGTCTCAAGCGCAGGCCGAGGCCGAGGCCGAACAAAATCACGGCCAAGGCATTAAAGGCAAATCATCACATGACAGCAGGGTCCCAGGCTTCATTTAATGAAGTAGTGCCTGTTTAATGCAGCAAACCCA